ATTTGAAATTATATTTGTGTTTATTTACACCAGAAACTGGTCGCGAAACACCCTACTCCTTACCCTAGCAATATTACGTAACAGGGCCATGACTGTTGTTGAAGTCAGGAATCGCCTTGCTGTTCGAAATGTGTGAAGTTCGAAATGTTCATGTAAATGACAGGACTATCAGGAGACACCTCAGTGAAACTAATATCGTGGCCTGTAGACCTGCATATGGCTCAGAGCTTACCAGATATCATCAAATCAGCAGACTTGTAATCGCACATGAACATGTAAATTGGGATATGGAAAAGTGGAGCCCAGTACTGTTAATAGATGAGTCACGGTTTTGCTTACGAGTTTTATTTGTCGAATATTCTTTGCCAAAGAATAACTTAAAATACACTTATCAATAAGAAATGATACCAAAAATAGTTGGTGTAGTGAATGTAAACGCGACTGTTTGTCCTGGGTTCGAATCCCGAGCAATCGAATCGTCGGACAAAAAAAGTGCTTATTGAGTTTTTCCGTCAAGAAATTCTCAGTAGTCGTCCAGAGTCAGGAAGTTGGCGGTGTCTCAACCCCGTGCCTCGGAAAGTCGTTGGTCCTGCACCTGATCTCTCTCCTGTCGTGCTGGTTTACCGTCCTATGGACTTTGAGAGTAAGGGAATAGAGAGTGCAACTGTGGTTGCGCATACACTTGGGCACTAGAATCCTATCCTACGGCGATGGCTAGTCACCTTTAAAGCTGTCCGCTTTTACCGAAATTCGGTCTGGAGGACATTATTATATCACTTACACAAAATGATTTCTTATATCTACGCGAACACTACACATGATTAAAACTACTTTTACGGATTTTATCGCGTTTATTTTTACTTTTAATTACGTTTATTTTTAATTCCCGACGTTTCGGGCGCTTTCCAGCACCCATGGTCACGGGGGACTGAGATGACTGACGTCCCGATGTCATTGTTAAACCCGGAGTACCTTCAGCTTTTTTAAATTATTGTTTATGGTCCGATCTATGCAAAATGAACTGACTATGTCCTGAGGTCTTGCAGTGGTATGCTTGGGTTTAGTTTTAATTTTATTGATTATAGGATCCCAAACAAGTGGTAGTACCCAGCCTCCTTCTCTATTGAAATTAGGATGTTTTTTAATTTCAATAGCCTCACGTATCATCCTTGGTAGGAATCGGTGTTCTTTCGCGAGGATTTGTGGTCTATCAAATCTGATGTAATGGTTGGGGCCGTCTAGGATATGATCACAAACTGCAGACTTCCCGGAACGTTGATGCTTCACATCAGCTATATGTTCTTTTACGCGGGCCCTAATTGATCTTTTTGTTTGTCCTATATAAGAGAGACCACATTCACAATCAAGCTTGTACACTCCTGCATCTTGTAGAGGAATATGACACTTGACGGATGGTAGGAACTGACTAATCTTCTTCGGCGGCTTGTAGAATGTTCTAATAGAAGCTCGCTTCAAGATATAGCCAATCTTGTCTGTGACACCTCTGACATATGGTAGTACAGCAGGCACACGCTCGACTGTGGCCGGCTTCCCTCGGTCACTGTGACGTAGGCGCGGGACCCGAAGCTTGTTGTCGTGCAGAACTTGCTTGACGTGCTGAAGCTCGGCGGCCAGGTGTTTGCTGTCACAGATCCCTCGTGCTCTCTGTAACAAAGATTTGCCCACGGTAGCTAACTGTGAAGGATGGTGGTGAGATTCACCGTTTAAATATCGGTTTGTATGGGTCTTTTTTCTATACACAGTGTGACCAATGGTGTTATTAGGATTTCGGATGACTAACACATCTAGGAAAGGTAAGGAATTATTTGCCTCTAACTCCATAGTAAATTGAATTTTAGAGTTTATGGAATTAAAATGTTCTAAAAAAGCAGTTATTTTGTCTTATGGTAAAATTGTGAAAGTATCGTCTACGTACCGCTTGTAGATCCTTGGTGTAACAGGTGCAGTAAGGAGGGCTTTCTCCTCAAAGTCTTCCATGAATATATCGGCGACAATGGGAGATACAGGTGAGCCCATCGCAACACCATCTACTTGCTTGTAAAACTCTTCTTTCTACAACAGATAGCCAGATGTAAGGCAATGTCTTAGTAATACTGCATATTCTGCTGGCATGTTATTTTCCTCTAGTTTCCTAGTTATAATTGAGATGCAGTCTTCAACAGGTAGGCATGTAAATAGAGACTGAACATCAAAACTGACCATGGTTTCATTGTCAGTAAGATGTAGGTCTTTTATCTCACTGACAAAATGGTATGAATCCTTAGTGTGTGCTCTTGTGTGCCCTCTGAGTGGTGATAATATTTTAGCTAAGTATTGAGCCAATCTGTAAGTTGGCGAATCAATCTGACTCACTATTGGACGTAATGGAGCATTCGGTTTGTGTATCTTTGGTAACCCATACAACTTCGGTGGTTTGGCACATGAAAGTATTATCGAATTAACGTCCAGATTCAATTTTTCGGAGTATTTCTTAATTAGATCGCTAGTTGTTTTAAGCGTATTAGTTGTAGGGTCTGTTTTGACCTTTCGATAAGTAGTTTCATCCGACAAAAGTTGTTGTATTTGAAAATTGTAATCTGACGTATCCATTATAACCGTAGAATTACCTTTATCTGCGCGGAGAATCGTAAGCTCTGGTCTAATATCATCTAATAAAAGTAATTAAAAGTAAAAATAAACACGATAAAATCCGTTAAAGTAGTTTTAATCACTTACACAAATTTAATCATGAAAAGTAAATATGACACATAATGAAATATATTCTTACACTGCCACGACACGGTAACAATTAACTTAAATAATTTGTACTTTGATTGTTGTAATAAAACAGTTATCATCTTATGTTTTATTCACTGTTCGAAGTCGAATAATAGTAAAGTCACAAAAACGTTAAGTGAATAATATACTCTAAATTATTATATCTTATTTGTTTCCGAGGCAATGAACTTATATTATTAAAGATACCTGTGTATAATAGCAAAACAATTGATCCGTTTTATTCATAGAACTGTAATTAATAATTCGCTGATGTTGTATTTTATATCAAATGTATCTTTTATACGACGATTGAAAATCGGCTCCTGAAGTCAAAATCGAGCTGACACTGTAACAATCGGAGCATGCAACCTGCAACCGACTTAAGACAAAGAAGGCAACCGATCGTTGTCAACTTCATTACAACCGCTTACGTACGAGTATGTAATAGATAAGTATTGTTTTATCCGTTTCTTGAATATTTCATAATAGTGAATGGAAAATCGATACATAATGGTAGAAAGTATGAGTCAATTTATTTTACGACTAGTTTACGGAGCATTTGGAAAATTCAAAACAAATTTCACAAAGTACAAAGTACTGTTTATGTTTATAATTCTATTACATTGTTTGACATTTTATACAAATTGTTATATGAATAATATATATTATATATAATTATTACTAGCGGTCGTCTAGCGGTGGAAATTCGATTCAATCGTACATTTTCATTTGTACATTTAAGCACAGCTTATAAAATAAACAAGCATATAAAATATATAAAGTAAACGTTTTTTTTCTTTCGCTTGAAAACTTGAAATCTTTGAATTAGTATTTTTTTTTATAGGATAGGGTGACAAACGAGCACACAGTCCACCTGATGGTAAGTGGTTGCTGTGGCCCATAGACATCTACATCTATCCTCAATTACGAATCAAAATGCAGATGCGTTGTCACCCGTGAGGACTAAGATGGAATGCCTCGTTTCCAGTAAAAAGGGTCTCCGGTTCTCTACACGCACCATACGAAACACAGCAGCATTAAGCTGCTATTTCACGCTGGTATTCTATGAGAGCGTGGTCCTTCCCTGGTCGAGCCGACCCATTCGTGCTACAACTATACATCTAATATAACTGCAGCATGGCTCTACCACGTAAAAAAGTATTGAATTGAAGGTGGTAATTATTTGTTTGCAACTATTTAAAATTCTTTTGTTTTGTGTGTTTGTTTGATCACCGACTATAATGAGTTTGAAACTTACAGGATGAATATAAATGAACGCATCATTTAATTTAATTTAATTTATTTGTAACACAGATAATTTAGACATTTTAGCTTTTTGAACTTCTTTTCCACATAAATTTTAACTATGCCTAATCGCACACTTCTCTGTGCGCGCAATATTTTTATAAAGATGGTTCAATGGGTAAAACGCTATACCTTCACGTAATTATATAAATTTATTTGAATTCATTACAATTGTCATTTGTCATAGACTGCAATGATAGATAACATCTAATGTTTGTAAATGTTATTAGGTTATGTTCATTCACGATTTACTGTATACTTTATTTAAAACAAAACTTTTGCACTAAATCATTTAATTACCAGCTTCCATTGTACATAATAAAATGTATGCCTCCAGGCCTAATTTCGATTACAGCGGCAGTTATTAACAACTTAAACGCACACAGGCACACTCTCTATTCCCTCATTCATATTCCAATGGGATAACAATCGAACATGACCAGAAAGAGTCCAGACGCAGGACGTTGGGAATTTTTTGACAGGAAAATCGCAATAACCGATTCGGAACGTCTAATACTCAACTGAACTTAGTACTACGTGATCAGCAGTTATGCTTACGACCACTAGACTAATAAAACATCTCCTTTTACTATGTTACGATAGAAAGCGAGGTATACAGACAAATGATACATAACTTAACGATAATCAACGATTGTAATGTTGTTAATATTTATCGATCTTGGTTTTTTAATGAAACTTGGGATTACAAGATACGTGAGATAAAGAGATGTTACCTTAAAATATTCATAATTTTCTCATTTCTCACTGTACCAAGAAAATAAGAAAAAGTTGAATAAAACCTGTTTGTTTTTATTGCTTATTAAGAAACGTGACGTTGCGTCCCGACTAAAACTAGACTTAATAAACAAAGACTTTAAGTCTTAAGAAGAGTAATATGAACACATTCCTTAATTAAAATGTCAAAGGATGTGATATATGGTATTTTTGAACATGAGGGCAAGAATTTATATTATAATTATATAAATTCTTGTCAATACACATAACCCCATTTCTCCCCATGAGGCAATCCATGGGGAAGGCGTAGGTTCAGAAGTGGACATTTGATGGGCTGTAATGGTTTATACCGATACATCATTATCATTACAGCCCTTCACAAGTCGACTGCTGAACATAGGCCTCCCAAAAGCAATGCCACAAAGCACGGTCCTGAGCCACCTGCAGACATCGACTTCCTGCATGTCTTACCAGGTCGTCACTCCATCTATTGGAAAGTCACCCTACACTTCGTACACCGGTACGAGGCTGCAACTAGAGAGCCTTTTTTTCACATCGGTTGTCGGTTCTTGGAGCTATAAGTTATTGCCGTTTCAGCCTACTTATCCGTTGAGCTATGTCGGTCACACTGCTTCTACTGCAAGTATCCTTATTATAAAGTTTATCACGCAGAAAAACGCCGGGCGTAGCCCTCTCCATAGCTAGCTAAACGACATTGAGCGTCCTCATACGGCCAGCAGCGAAGGACCACTTCTCAGTTCAATAAGTAATCACTGTTAACACGCACTGATTGTATAATCTCGTTTTCAGGTTTTGAAGTATGGCTTACGAGATGTGTCGTTATGTTCCGAACGCTGTCTAGCCGAGTTAAATCCGTCAATTGACCTCTCAGCCGAAGTTTGACTTAAATAGTCAGACTACTTGTCTCAGGTAAACTCGTATACAACTTCCAGCTTAGTGCTCCCAGCAAATATCGGCATAGGTGTGTCGTGGACGTTACTCGTGGTCTTTGTTTTGTCCGCGTTCATCTTAAGACCTATCCGCTGGGAGTTACAATTGAGGTCATTATTATTACCATACCACATATATTTTAATCATAGTCTACAGAGGTCATAGAGCGTCGGCAAATCTAAGGTGAGTGATGTACTTGCAATTGATGTTAAAACCCAATCTTTCCAGTCCAGTAGCTTGAAAATGTCTTCCAATGCATCAGTCAAGAGTTTAGGGGATATAACGTCACCTTGTCTTACTCTTTACACGGATAGCCATCGAAGCCCTACTGTACAAACACTTTAGCACTTCAACATACTGACAGTCAATTTGGCATCGCTGAAGCGAATGAAGCACCACCCAAATTTCGACAGAATCAAAGGCGTCCTCATAGTCCACATACGCCAAGCAAAGTGGCAGATTGTAATTTTTGGTCTTCTGTACAATTTTCCGCAGGGTATGTATGTGTTCTATAGTGTTAAAGCCTTTTCGGAAAATTGGCTTGTTCGGGAGGCTGAAAGTCGTCGAGTCCGCGTGCGAGACGATTCGTAATGACTCCAGAAAACAGCACGTAGATGCGGCTTAGAATATAAATCAATCTGTAGTTTTTCAAGAGAACGTTGTCAACTTGAATGGAAAGACCACCGTACTTCTGCTATACGCCTCCGGAGTAGTGCCAGCATGCAGGACGGAATTAAAGAGCTTCTGAAAGTACCAATTCCCCACCCGCTTTCAGATCGTCCGCTGTAATTCCGTCCTCGCCAGGGGTCTTGTTATTTTTAAGGGGGTGGAGAGCCATTCTAATCTCGCTCAGACTGACGTCCGGGATATCATCGGAATAGTGTCACATAAGACTTGCTCTTAAATCATTACTCACACTTGCATGTGGCTCCAACGATGACGTGTACAGCTGCCCATAGAAATTCTCAATCTCACTCAAAATCTCAGGTGTCGCGAAAACGATGCTGTTACACTCGGTTATCAGATTTGACAGTTGGCTCATTCTGGCAGACAGATCTCTGGCAAAGACTTTGGAGCTCTTGTTCCGCTCAATCGCTTCTTCATGCTCCACGAGCTGCATTGAAATGGCGTAAGTCCCGCCGCATGTTTTTGGAGATCTGTCTGTTCATTTCCTGTCCAACAGCCACGATATTTAGAGTGCGATCGGAGAGTTTTGTGTTCTTTTGCGGCGGGTCTTGCAAAACATAGCTGCGACCGCATAAACAGTTTCCACAATCTTCTCATTCATGTAGTCCATTGTATTGCATTCATCTAGGCACTGAAAACAGTTTTATAATTCGAGCTGAAAGGTTTCAGGGCCCTGAACCGTGGAGTCAGCGCTCAAGGGGGATGGAGCGTTGACTTCATTAGAAGTGACCTCTCCAACTTAACGTTTAAGTTCAGTCTGTCTCTTACCAATCAGTGATCGCTGCCAGTTTTCACCCTCGCGATCAATAAGACATCACTGATACAGTTTGCGTCTGATCATCATAATGAAGTTAATCTCATTTTTTGAACTGTCGGTGCTCGACCCGGTCCACTTCCTGTGGGGTCGCTTCTGGAAGATAGAGTTCATCATAACGAGTCCCTCTTTATCCATGAAGTCGGCTGCAGCAAGCTAGCTCACCGCTTTCTCTTGTATAGTGAATTTTGGAGAAATGCATCCCTAGATATCCACATACATTTCTTCCACCTCCTCTATGACCTTCAGAGAATACCGTTTGGTTACTGAGTATCAGGTACGCATCCCTTGTCGATACACTTCCAATCTTTAGAAAGTTGTTGACGAGAGACTTGTGAACGATAAATCCGACACCTCCTTGGAACAGATGGTCACCCTTCCGGTGATAGAAGAATTTTCCGGGTTCGAGAATTACCGTGTCCTCCCCTTCTTCAGACTTCAAATAATCCTTTAGTAATCTATCGCAACTTGTCCAGGATCTACTCGTCAGTCTTCTGGTTGCGTGCGTTATATGTTTCCAGATCGAATCGTCTTAGGCAAACGAACCTCCACCGGAGATTCTTAGCACCCATGGTAACCATGGTAACGGCGGCGCAGGCCCCATCGTTACCATGGTTGCCACCAGAGCCAGGAATAGCGGGGTTGCCGAGGACCGGAGACCGTTTGCTTGTATCATTGCTTATGGGGGATGTTTTCAATAGTTGCCACGCTCGGCAAGCGGGTTGGCAGTTCTTTATTGTATAATTTCTGTTATCAGGAAGATGCTGCTGCCCATCTCCTGCCTGTCTCCCTCTGTCGCCTCCGACACCCAGGATAAGATATGTGGTAGTGAATATTCTCAACCGCCACTTCACAGATTGGATATATATATATATATATATATATATATATATATATATATATGTATCAAATGAAAACTATAAACATCTTCTTAAATACATCGCGCGCACGGAGGAGTGTGATACTTAGCATAGTTAAAATTTAGAAAGAAAAAGAAAAAAGGTGTAAGTCATCATTTTTTTATGTTCATACTGTCAATGTCAAACACCTACCAGTCTGTGGCCCAACAGTAGCACAGAGTTTTTTGCTAAAGAATTTTAAAATGTTATTGACATATAATTACTGACTAGTTGACACAATAAGCTGTAAATTTTTTGTGAAGGCAAATGTCCCTTTTTCAATAACCTGTAGTGTATGTCAAGGTAAAAGAACGTTTAATTTTAAATTTGTATGTTAAATATCCGTGTCTCTTTACTGAACTCTAAACTGAAACAAAACTTGCGTAATTTACAAATTTCTAAATTTACTAATAATTACTAATATACATAGAATTGTGAAGTTGCAGCCTATAATATACATTTATTATTACTATATGTTACACTATATAAAGTAATAATAAGTGTTAGTATTATACTATAATATACATATTATATTTTCTAACGTGGTAGAGCCATGCTTCAGCTATGTTATTATGGTTGTAGCACGAATGGATCGGCTCAACCAGGGTAGGACCACGCTCTCACAGAATACCAGCGTAAAATAGCAGCGTTATACTGCTGTGTATCGTGTGTTTAGTGTAGAGAACCGGAGAACCTTTTATCCGGAAACGAGGCATTTCATTTTAGTCGTAAGTGGCGACAACTCATTTGCATTTTGAATTTCATTCGAGGATAAATGTAGATGTCTATGGGCCTCAGGATCCACTTAGTACCAGATGGACTGCAGTTGGTGTGCTCGTTTGTCACCTTTATTCTATAAAATACATCCCACGGCTGAAACCAGAGCTCCTCTCATTTTTAAGAGGGTTATGGAGCTGTCATCCCGCTGAGCCGATTTAGTGCGCGTTGGCTGATTTCTAAGAAATATTTCGGAACATGTAGATTTTCTTACGAAGTTTTTCTTCACTGTTGAGAAAGTAGTAAAATTACAATTGAGGATTTTCATTTGTGTAGACGAGATCTATGGCGGTTTTATTGCATATTATGCTTAGGGCTAAGCTAACATGGTTTTCGCTTTTTTATAGTATTTAGTCCTTAATAGTATAAAATTTCTTCCCATCAGCCTATCAAAAGTTCACATGTGAACAATTGACTCAATCACCTTACTTGGCAGGCGGAAGGATGTTTTTAACGTGTTATAAATCAAAAAAATAAATCACGAAAATTATGCAACAAACAATAAGAATATTTCTATGCCATCGTATTTTTCATTCACAAAATTTGTCCTATTTTTTCTATTATACCATTCTGTACGGACTTCTTTATTAAAATGTTGAATAAAACTGCTTCGCCATATGTTGCCTTATTGTGTATCGTTGTAATAACCGATGAGGTAAATCCCTTTACCTTTTGTGTGCTGTTATATAAGAGAACACGTGTATTATAACTTATGAAAAAGTAAAATACATAGGCCACTCAGAGAGTATTGTAGAAATAAAAGAATATTTTTATTATTAAATTTTTACTCTCCACCTGTATATATACAAAGTTTCACGAGTCTTCTACGGCTTAGTGGCGCAAATTTTAGTGAATAAAACTTCCCACTGTGCTTTACGTTTCAGCTGATTCTTATTTAACTATAGCTGTAAGAAGGTAGATTAAAAATCTTAACCGGTGTGTTGTCTAGTGTCTCGTTTTGAGCGTTGAATGCGCGGACTCGCTGTGATAGTGAAGGTGAAGTAGTAGGAGTGCAAGTCCGGTACAAATTACGTTAGTGAGTGTCGACTTCGTTTATAAATGAGTTGAGATCTTTCATCGGCGAAGTCGTAAAACTAATAAATTGGCTCCCTATTAAATAAAATTTTCGATGATTTTTGATGATTTCGTAGTGCAGCCTAAACGTTTATCCAAAAGTCAGCAAGGCCGCCGATTCGAAGCATCCCAATAAACGAGCGTATGTTTTTATGTAACTTTACAGATTCTTTCTTCATTAAATGGGTTATATTAGCAGTTCCATTAAATAGGTTTCGAGGATGTTACTCGTAACATCCTCGAAACTACAACTATACTATATTAAACTTTTAATTTGAACTCTAATAGTAACATAGGGAATGAAGTTTTGATTGTAACTAGTATTTACTTAGAGAAAGTTTTTGTTCTTACCTCGAAATTCTAATATTATATTCCTCTTCAAAGTTTAAAAAGTTAAACATGCGTTAAAAGTAAAAACTGACTTCAAAAACGAAAAAGAATAAAATAATTTCTATATTATAGCTTCCGCAACCGAGGCTTTAGGTATTCGATATATTGTATCTTAGCACCGTCTTCAGAAGCTAAGTTATATTTTTGAATTTTTATCTAGTCATTTTTTTCTAGTACTTCTAATGTAATATACGAACATTTGGTTACCAATACGTATTAAATTGGTATTCGATTGAGATATCGCATCATAAGAGAGCAGTAATGTAAGGAGCGCCTTAGAGACTCGCTATAAATTTATTTCATGTTAAATTAAATTGACTTTTACATTATACCTGTTGTTGGGTGGATATATATCGTTTCTCGTGGGTGTGAGGAAACCTCTGTTGTTCCCATATTTGAACATTTCCTTGCCCTAAAATTAGAGTGGCCTGTGCCCAGCAGTGCGATGTATTTAGGCTGTAACTTTTATATGGCGGGTAATTGTTAGCGCCATCTAGTATCAAATAGCAGAAATGGGAGTGTCTCGATCTTTCTAGAACTGTCCCACTAGCGCCATCTAGTGTCGAGGGGCGAGGGCTTTCTGGAGGATTCTTTGCTAGAACTTTCAACATTCTACTCGAACATTCTAGATGTTTTCGGTGGAAAAAGTCCTATATAAAGTAGGCAAGGAGCGCGACCGGGACAGTATTACAGAAGTACAGAACTAAATTGTTAAATGTGATTAAATATTAGTGTGTTTTAAGTTTTAATTGGTGTTCGGTAACTAAAGTGTCAATTTTAGTAATTCAATCGGCAATTTTTATTTTCACGAACCCTAAGCTCGTAACAATACTAATTCTTGAAAACTATCCTTATAGATAATTGGTAAAATAGCTAAAAATATTTAAGCACATCAGCCTAACCTACTACCTTCGACTAAAAAGAAAGTTAGACGGAGCGCAGCGTACATACTAATGTAATATACGAACATTTAGTTACCAATACGTATTCAATTGGTATTCGGTTGATATATTGCATCATAAGAGAATAGTAATGTAAGAAGTGCCTTAGGGACTCCCTATAAATTTATTTAATGTTAGGTACCCAAGGAATACGAGTTTAAACCGAAACAGTACTGTCTCATTGTGTGTAGATAGAGCTATTGTATTACCTGACTGTCCTAGAAAAAGGTTTAATGTTTTTGAGTGTATGTATCGTTTTAATTTTAATCAAGATCTAGTTTTAATTTTAATTTTACTTGGAACTTTGTTTTATGGTAAATTTACTTTTGCATTATATTTCTGGTACTAGACTACATACTAGTGCCTGAAAACCATCCTAGCACATTGGCTTAACTTACCAACTTAGACTAAAAAGAAAGGTAGATGAAGTGTAGCGTACATATTAAATGACGTGAAAACCATGCTCAATCTCTTGACACGTACCCACGCACACACCTTTCTCCTTTCTTCCTTTATTAGCCTATAAACCGTGCTGATGCACGCATATGCACCTAAAGCCTTGCTGTTAACCAACAAATGATTTTAGATATGTTAGCGTGAGTGCGTGTACTTACAATGAGTTTAGCATGGTTTTAGTTTGATTTTTACGTAACTTGAAATTTCTGTAGCACTTCACCTTTTTCTCTTTGTTGGTCTGCGCTTACCACTTGTCTCAACAAAACAATGATATTTTATTTAATTGTTATTCGTATTTTCTTTTAATAATAAAAAAATACTAAAAAGTGCCCAAAATAATAATCTATAAATATCACGAGTAAACGTTTAAAGTGAATGATAGTAAACTATATTGTATTATTTTAATTTATTTTTTCAGATAAGGGAAGATATTGGGTTCGAAGAAAAGAAGAAAGAACCGCAGCACGCTACAAACACAAGTCCAGGGCGAGAAGACAAATTGGTAAGCCAAAAATACTAATAGATTTCTAGATTTTTCAACAGTGGTAGAGCCACGCGGCAGCTTTGCTGTCGCACGTATGGGCCGGCTCAAACCGGGGTGGTACCACGACCTCACAGAATACCGGCTTGAAGTGGAAGCTCTGCTTCCGCGTTTCGTCTGGTTAGTGCAGGTGGCCGGAGGCCCAAATCCCCCCCCCCCATCAACATGGTAGCGGAATTAAATGATAGACTACCCCAGGAGGGTACCAGCACCCCTGGAGAATCCCTCGCTGAGCATCCACGACCATGTTTCTCCACTTCTGAGCGTGGGTGCTCAGGCTGCCCCGCGTATTCTGGGGGGGGGGGGGGCAATATTCCGCTCAAGACTAAAACTGCTCGGGGCAAACGGAGCAACAAGACCAAGGCGACCCCTGCCGCGCTGTCCGTGAATTTCTGCAATATCAGGGGACTTCACTCTAACCTAAACGCCGTCCACTGCCATCTCGAGACGGCGAGGCCGGCTCTGCTCTTTCTGACCGAGACGCAGGTGTCCTCTCCGGCTGATGTCTCGTATCTCTCCTGCCCGGGGTACAAACTGGAACACTCCTTTGTGCCTCGGGCTGGCTGGAGTTTGGTTTACGTCAGAGAGGACATCTGTTCTCGACGCCTTGCAGACTTGAAGGTTCGGACCTGTCCATCCTTTGGCTACGCGTAGACAGCGACAACCATCCGCGCGTCTACGGGTGCCTCTATAGGTCCCATAGCGGTAATGCCGAAACAGACCGACTCTTCGACCACGTCCAAATGGCTGCAGATTCGTTGCTACAGCAGATCCCCTCCGCAGAGATCGTGATCCTCGGCGACTTTAACGCCCATCACGCCGAATGGCTCGGTTCACGTTTAACCGATCATGCGGGGAGATCTGTTCATGATTTTGCCTTGGCATATGGTCTGACACAACTAGTTACTTCGCCTACGCGGATTCCAGATGTGGAGGATCATGCACCTTCCCTGTTGGACCTTCTGCTGACCTCTCACCCGGACGGATATCAGATTTCCGTCGACGCCCCTTTAGGCTCCTCGGACCATTGTCTTGTCCGGAGTGTGGTGCCACTCACGCTGAAATCGCGGTTGCATTCTGCAGGCTGCCGCCGTGTTTGGCACTATAGGTCAGCCGATTGGGATGGGATGCGGTCTTTCTTTGCATCCTACCCTTGGGGGCAGGTTTGCTTCTCGCCGGATGATCCCAACGTTTTTGCGGATTCTGTCGCTGATGTGGTACTTCAGGGTATGGAACTTTTTATTCCTTCCTCTGTGGTGCCCATTGGAGGCAAATCTCAGCCATGGTTTGGTCTGTAAAATAGCATCATGCTATAAGCAGGAGTGCTACCGAGCCTGGGCTGACGCATCAGCATCCAGGGATGTAAACACCAGCGCTCTAAAAAAAGAAGTATAATTCCGCCTCTAGGTCCTTCAAAAGAGTTATTGCCAAGGCTAAGTCAGAGCACATAGGCAGAATTGGCGAGAGACTAGTTCGTCTTCCTTCTGGAACCCGTGCATTCTGGTCTCTCGCCAAGGCTGTCCAGGGGAATTTCTGTCAGCCATCTCTTCCATCTCTGCACAGGGAGGACGACTCACTGGCCCACACCGCAAAGGAGAAAGCCGATCTTCTAGGCTCTTTCTTTGCGTCTAACTCGACTCTCGATGACGGGGGGAGTACGCCGCCGACCATCCCGCGGTGTGAGTGCTCCATGCCGGAAGTGCAGTTCACTCAGCGCTCGGTTCGCAAAGCACTCCTCTCCCTGGATATCTATAAGTCGAGTGGGCCTGATGGAATCCCCCCAATTGTGCTGAGGACGTGTGCTCCAGAGTTGGCACCGGTTTTAACGCGTCTTTTCCGGTACTCCTACTCCCTAGGCGTAGTCCCAAAATCATGGAAGACGGCTTTTGTCCACCCGATCCCTAAAAAAGGCGACCGCTCAGACCCGTCCAACTACCGGCCTATCGCCATCACCTCCTTATTCTCCAAAACAATGGAGTCCATTGTAAACTGCCAGCTCATGAGGTACCTTGAGGATCACCAGCTGATTAGTGACCGCCAATACGGTTTTCGCCGTGGTAGGTCAGCTGGTGATCTTCTGGTCTACCTAACTCACAGATGGGCGGAGGCTGTAGAGTCCAAGGGGGAGGCATTGGCCGTTAGTTTGGACATTGCGAAGGCCTTCGATCGGGTTTGGCACAAAGCGCTTCTTTCGAAGCTCCCTTCCTATGGGCTTCCCGAGAAATTGTGCGATTGGATCACCAGTTTTCTTGCAGATCGGAGCATCAAGGTCGTTGTAGACGGTGCAAGCTCCGATTGCAAGCTTATTAATGCTGGTGTTCCACAGGGCTGCGTGCTATCGCCAACGCTGTTTCTTCTGCATATCAATGATATGTTGCAAACCCGTAGCATTCATTGCTATGCAGATGACAGCACTGGTGATGCTCTTTACACCGGCCGAGCCAATATTTCTCGGGAAAACGTCTCTGAGTGCCGGGACAAACTTGTGTCTGAAGTCGAGTCTCTGCTGGACAGAGTCTCGGATTGGGGGCGACTAAATCTAGTCCAGTTTAACCCCCAGAAGACACAAGTTTGCGCGTTAACCGCTAAAAAGAACCCCTTTGTCGTATCCCCTCAGTTTCAAGGCACTCCCCTTGTTGCCTCAGCCAGTATCGGAATCCTCGGCGTCGACATATCGAGTGACGTGCGGTTTCGTGGTCACTTGGAAGGGAAGGCCAAATTGGCCTCTAAAAAGCCTGGCGTGCTCAGCAGAGCGGGACAGTATTTCATGCCGGCACACCGCCTGCAACTTTACAAGGCGCAGGTTCGGCCGCTCATGGAATACTGTTCCCATCTCTGGGCTGGGGCTCCCCAGTACCAGCTCCTTCCACTTGACCGCATCCAGCGCAGAGCGGCTCGAATCGTCGACGAGCGAGTGCTTTCCGATCGGCTCGATTCACTGGCGCTGCGAAGAGATGTTGCATCTCTTTGCGTATTTTATCGCATCTATCACGGGGAGTGCTCTGAGGAATTGTTCGGATTAATCCCAGCCGCCAAATTTCGTGAACGCACTACACGGCAAACGTCCCGATACCATCCACACCATCTGGATGCTTGGCGGTCCACCACTGTACGTTTCAAAAGGAGTTTTCTTCCGCGTACAACCTCTCTGTGGAATAATTCACCACCGGTGATTTTTCCGGACCGATACGACCTGGGGACCTTCAAGAAAAGAGCTTACTCCTTTCTAAAGGGCCGGTAACGCACCTGCAATTCCCCTGGTGTTGCGGTTGATCATGGGCGGCGGTAGTCACTTAACATCAGTTGAGCCACATGCTCGTTTGCCCCCTCTTCTATATATAAAAAAAAAAAGATTTCTAGAAGAATGAATGATTTATTTTGTTGAATGAAGCTAAGCCCAAGCATACCATTACAAGACTTCAAGGCGCAGGAACTTCATTCTGCGTAGATTGGATCATAAATAATAATTAAACAGCTGAAGGTACCCCGAGTTAACAATGACTTCGGGATGTCAGTCATCTCAGTACCCCGTAAGCATTGGTGTTGGAAAGCATCCGAAACGTCAGCTATTAAAAATAAAATAAATAGACCGCGATAAAATCCGTAAAAATAGTTGTAACGAATGTGTAGTGTTCGCGTAAATATAAGAAATCATTAGTTGCCACTAGATTTTTCTTGTATTTCCCATATTTGTCTTTTACGACACTAACGAGACGAAATAGACGTGGTGGATATACGTACGTCACAATCACGCGGCAATTGTTGAACCTAACCTCCAAATATTTTAAATTTGATACAATAGGAACCGAACTTGGAACGGTCGTGTTCTATGAATAATAATTAATATTATTATTAATATAATCATTTACAGAATATAGCGATACGTTTGATACTGCGAACGTTAATCCGTCTGTCAAACACTTTTCTCACCGCATCACCCAAAGGTTAACTAGTAGGGAATGCCTCAGGATACGCGTCCGCTTATACATGATTTATTAATAGGTCCTTACATATTATGAAATTGGCGTTTTGTACGGGAGGAATATAAAGTCAGTTTTTCTTAAAATATATTTAATTAATCAAAGTATGCACCACTGTTATCTATGCAATTTTGCCATCTAATAGGTAGTTCATTGATCCCTTTACTAAAAAAACCATGGGGGCGAGAATCAATAAACTCTTTGAAGGCGGTTTGGACTGCCGCATCGGAGTTGAATTTTTTTCCTTGTAAGAAGTTGTCCGAATTCCGGAAAAAATGGTAATATGTTGGAGCAAGGTCCGGGGAGTACGGTGGATGTCGCAGACATTCTAATTGTAGCTCATTTAACTTAGTGGTTGTTTGTAGTATAGTGTGTGGTCTTGCGTAGTCGTGAAGCAGCAGTAGCCTAGAGCGATTGAACAATCTCGGTTGTTTAGCAGCTAGTTCTTCCTTCATAGTTTGCTGTTACTGACAAGAGATATCTGCCGTAATCGTTTGTCCAGATTTTAGAAAGCTTTAGTGAACACCGGCGCTAGTCCACCAAACACTCACAAGTAACTTTTTCTGAGTCAGTTTTCGTTTGGAGCAGGATTTGGCTAGGTCTCTAGGGTACAGCTATTGCGATGAGCACTTCCGATTATTGTACAGTATCCACTTTTTATTACAAGTAATGATTCGATTTAAAATCCTTTCACTTTTGTGTCGGTTGAGCAAAGTAACACAGCAGTTGACGCGTGTTTGCAAGTTCGATTCACTCAATTCATGAGGTACCAATCGTTCAAGTTTTTTTTACTTTCCCGATTTGTTTCAAGTGGATTAATACAGTTTTATCACTTACCCCAAAGCCTGCAGCTATTTCTGAAGTGCTTTGTGATGGATCCGCTTCCACAATAGCCTTTAATTCTTCATTTTCCACTTTGGTCTCCAGCCGCCCACGGGGTTGGTTCTGGAGGTCGAAATTTCCAGAACGAAAACAATGAAA